CCATCATCAGATAATTTGCTGGAAAAATTCATTATTATTGAACATTTTAGTGACAGTATCTTTACTACTTGCCAAATATTTAAACATGTTTATTCGTTTTGTGCTTCAGGGGCACTTTCAGTTAAATTAGATAAATAGATGTATTGCATTTAAAATGTCTAGCATTATTCTCGTGTAAATAGTGCAGAGCTCTTCACAACTGTGGCTTTAATGGGCAGCAAGGTTACGTTGTTTCCTTCAGCTCAATCAGTAGCAGCGTTAATGTGTACACACCAACAAATGACCATCGAAGGCTCGTAGGTGGCTTGTGGCTGCTGCATGCTGCCAGGCTAAACCCAGCTATCTAGTGTTTGGTGGATGGCTGATGGCTGCAAAGTGCTTCTTGGATTGCTGAGCCTTTCCACAACGACAGACCAACGATCAAATTTTCTTCCGTGGAAATGGATTTGAACAACTCTCTCAAGTCCTTACATAACGACTTCTGTGCAACACTGCAAATGTCTCTGTTGCTCACTCTGTGTGAATTCTTTTTCTTCCTCTTCTTCTGCCACCATTTTACTACCACTGCTTTCCAGGAGATTTCCTGTAACTGCAGTGTAACACCATAGCAGCAGGGAAGAATTACTCAGATACCCTACTTAAGTAAAAGTAACAATTGGATTATAAGTATTGATGCATTGTTGTGCACATCACATGTAATGTTGCAGCGGGTAAAGGTGGAGGTAGTTTTATGCCACTTATGCTTATAACTGCTCTGTAGTTAGTGAATTTTCCACTGTGAATCGATAAATTTATATAAATATAATACTGAAGATACTGTGCACTCTGTACTGCTGTTATTGCACTTGTGGTGAGATGCTAAACTGCATTTCATTGCCTTATACTTGTACATGGATAATGAGAATAAAGTTGAATTGAATCGAATCTAATCTAATCTAATCTAATCTAATCTAATCTAATCTAATCTAATCTAATCTAATCTAATCTAATCTAATCTTTATGAGTATTATTACCAGTAACTAGTAACTAAAGTTATCAAATATGTTATGTGGTGGAATAAAAAATACAATATTTGCCTCTAAAATGTAGTAAAGTTGATGAATGGTATAGCACAAAATGAACACACTGTAAGTGAAGTACAGATACCTCAAAATTGTACTTAAGTATAGTACTTGAATAAATGTACTTTCCACCACTACATAGAAGTGAATATCAAAATGGGAAATAATCTAAAGAGTTGGTTGAAACAGTTCACTGCAGGGAAATACAGTATATTCTTTGTAATTAAAAATATAGCAAAGGAATATCTGTATTACAAACGCAGGGGATTATGTGAATGGGTAAGTGAAACCTAGAGTATAAAGCAACATAGCAGGAGAGTCTACTAAGGAAATGTTGTGCACATTAAAACTGTGTTCACTCTATGATTATTTATAGTGAGAGCCATCTTTGGTTCTGCTTTGTTTTATGGAGTTTAAGGGGGGTGGGGGTGGGGGGTCTTTAGGAATGCTGTGCAGGTTTCATAGGACACACAAGGGGAGGTGGGGTGTAAGCACCAATGCTTAAACAGGTCTGTCAACAGGAATTGGTTTTTATGAGGAAGCTGAAGATTCCTGGTCAGAGTGGCACTTTTCTATCAGTGCACTTCTTGTACATCCAGCAGCTTTTGGCCCAAGATAATTGTATTTATGTTGTCAGAAATACTTATCCTGCAATTCAGGCTGTGACCACTACACCACAGTCACCTCTTGATTTTCAAACTGGATAAATAGTGCAGCTGCTGCTGATCTTAGTGAAAAGAGAAGGACTGCACACGGAGCTGTGATGATTTTGTTGTGTCATGGGAACTGTGGTCTCTTTGGAAGCAAGATATTAAACTGGCCTCAAAAAAGACCCAGTGTAGATAAAATGTGGCATCAGGTTAATCACCTTTATCATAGATAGTTGGTATAAATCGTTGTTTAGGACTGAGGTTCAAAGTTCATCATGACGCCTGCCTGTTAAGCTTTGATCCTGTACTAATTTTCTTCATCAAATGACAAATCCTTCAAATTTACATAAAAAAATGGAAATTTGAACATCTACAATTTCATATTGAGCCAGTTTTTATAAGTGTAATGTACAGTTGGCTTCTGCTATGTCCATGTCGGCACTGGGAGGTGACAAACACCCAGTAACCATTGCTCTTTTTAATGAACAGAGCAAACTGCACATGGAGGGCTTCCGCAGCCTCAGAGAAGGTGAGGCCGTGGAGTTCACTTATAGGAAATCGTCGAAAGGGCTGGAGTCTGTCAGGGTTACTGGGCCTAATGGAGCACCATGTCTGGGCAGTGAGAGAAGACCAAAGAGTTCCCAGATACGACGCTCCAAGGGAGACAGGTATGTTCAGTCTGAGGCAATCTGCCTAAATTTCTTACTGATGGTGGTACTGTTAGTCACTGCCTGGCAACCAGAGGGTCAATGTCTTTGCCCAAAGACACTTCAGTACATTTACTGGGGAGACCAGGAATTGAACCACCAACTTTCTGACGAGGAGACATCTGCTCCATTTCCTGTTGAACTTAAAGGGGTAGTTCAACATTCTGGGAAATACACTCATTCACTTTCTTTCAGAGAGTTAAATGAAAAGAGATACCATTTTGCCTTTACAGTATGTTGCTGATGGAGCTGGAGTCAGGACATGGTATAGCCTGGCTTTGCATGAAGACTTTAAGCAGGGGAAAACCGATTCTGGTCAAAGGGTCACCTCACAGCAAGAAGCTTCCGGGTTTGAGCCCCGGCCGACCCGGGGCCTTTCTGTGTGGAGTTTGCATGTTCTCCCTGTGCCTGTGTGAGTTCTCTGAGATTGGCTCTAGCAATGCATGGAGAATAATTTAACACAAATGTAAAAATGATTTCGTTACACGGTGCACGGGGTTTGGTTTAGTTTACTCAGAGACATGTTGGCACCAAACCTGGAAACCATAGAGACAAGACATAGTGCAGAGATGCTACATGCAGTCGCTGTGCCTGGCAGTAGTTTGTGAAGGAACTGTTCCAGCATGTTAGTTACTCTAATGTCACCAGTGATCATTTTTATATTTCTGTTTGCATACAGGCAAAACAAATGAGACACACCATGTAATTAGTGAGCCCTAGAGATGTTCTAGACAGCTTTGTTTGGCAGGATAACTGTTTCCCTCTGTGATAAACTAGGCTAACCATGTAAATAGTACTTACACAGTGCTTTTCTGCGCATTGATATGCACTCAGAAAGTTGTACACTATATCTCATTCACACATGTGTCTCACTGGGAACAACTAGGAGTTCAGCGTCTTGCCTAAGAACACTTTGACCGGACTTTAGCTGCTGACCATTCCCCTCACATACATTTTCTAGTTTTGAGCTACAGTTGTTTGTGATTTATTTCTCTGGCCCTGTGCTGTGTGCACTGGTTTATTGCCCATCGAAATTTATCCAAACGTTTTCAGAATATTTAGCTCGTGTTGCACCAAAATATGGTTTGCTGTGAGTTTAACCTGCATGTTTATTGCTATAACACACCCTGGACTTTGTTATTTCTCATCTTTATGCTTTGGATGGACTGGTTTCTTCTGGATGCCCAGAGGTTTTTGTCTCTCTCTTCCATCCCACATGCTCTGCTAGCCTTAATGCTGTTACCCCTTTAAGATTGAAATCTTCTAAATCTAGAGCTGAACCTTGGTTGAACAGATCCACTTGTGCTCTCTGGCAACACTGTAGATGTGCTGAACACAAGTGGAAGAAGGACAGGTTACATGTATCAAGGACTGCTTAACAGGCTACCAGAATGCTGTGAAAGCCGCCAAATCTCAATATCTATCTGGCATTATTACCAACAGCTGTCGTTGCCCCAGGATGTTACTCAGCAAACCCATGTACTACTGTTCAGCCTGATGTGTCTTCTGCTACTTGTGAGATGGTTCTCCAACATTTTATTGAAAAAGTATCTATGGTCAGGCAGGACTCAAATAACTCAAATGATATTACACTGTTGTTCCTTCATGATTTACTGTATTTGAGCAGTTTGAGCCTGTTTCTCTTTCACTTCTCTCAGAGGTGGCTCAGCACATGAAATCCTCCTATTGTGCTTTGGATGCAGTTCCTGTTCGGTCTTTAATACTGTAGGGTTATATTTTCTTGACTTTTTAATAGCTGTCTGGTTTTAGGTCTCTCCATAGCACTGAGTCAGCTCTGTTAAACGTATCAATGCTATTCTTTTTACTGTGATGATAGGAACCCTGCCATGTTGGACCTCACAGCTGCTTTTGATACTGTGGATCATGCAGTCCTCATTTCTCATGTTGCTCAGTCTGTAGGTAGTCATGGGACTGTCCTTAAATGGTTCCAGTCATATTTATCCAATAGGAGTTTTTCAGTAATGATTGGTGAGAATTTCTCCTCATGTGCTCCTCTCTCCTTTGGGGTTCCGCTTTGAACAAGTGAAAAATCTCTGCAATGCACTGATGATACTTAAACATTACTAATTTAAGTCACTGTGTTTTATGAATTGTTTGCAAACAAACAAAAAACTTACAAAAATCAGAAAATAATCTAAAAACTTTTTTGAAACTTTTTGAATATTTGAAACAAATTGAGGGCAGCACGGTGGCGTGGTGGTTAGCACTGTTGCCTCACAGCGAGAAGGCTCTGGGTTTGAGCCCCGGCCAACCTGGGGCCTTTCTGTGCGGAGTGTGCATGTTCTCCCCGTGCTTGCGTGGGTTCTCTCCGGCTCCAGTGCTCCGGCTTCCTCCCACAGTCCACAGCCATGCAGCATAGGTTGATTGGTGTCTCTAAATTGCCCGAGTGATTTTGTGTGTGTGTGAGTGGTTGTTCGTCTGTGTGTTAGCCCTGCCATGGACTAGCGACCTGTCCAGGATGTACCCCCATTGGCTCCGTGACCTCGTTTGGGACTAAGCGGTATAGAAAATGGATGGATGGATGAAACAAATTGATTTAAATAAAAAACAAACATGAGACTATTATTTGTGCAGTGACAGAGTTTTTTTCCCATTGCTTGAAGAAAAATAGGACTTCTAGGACCGATAAGAACATTTCTGGAGTTTAAAAGCATTCTGAACTTTTACATCATGTTTTGGTGAAAGTTAACTTTAGAACTAAAAAAGACACTCATACAGAATATTTTGATGACTAAGTGCAAGATCAGTAGGCTGAGCTCGAGCAATAGATAGTTTGATCTTTTCAGGCTTTTCCAATCCCCTGTGCTCCATTTCTGGGCTTCTGTGCTGGCCTCCGTGCATCTTTATCTGGTTGTCACTTTATTACAAACAAAAGCCATAAATTAATTTGTAATTTAATGTTATTAGAAACTGCTATTTATTTGCAATAATTCGATTTAGAAGCTTGTTTAGGTATTGTTGAAGCTATTAATATGATAGCATCTTTTGGACCTGAACAAACTGCTGACAGTGATACAATGAATTTTGCATTTAAGAGAATAAAATATTTAGATTTGTAGATTGTATGTTATTTACAACATTTTCTTAAATTCAACTGCATTAGTCATGGTGAGCACTGATAAAAATGATCCCACAGCTTCCTGTCCTAAAATACCCAGCAGGTTTGATTGCATTCATATGTTCCCTCTTTTTTCCCAAACATGAATGTTGTATTCAGAAGAAGAAAGGATCTTATCCATTTAATTGATAACAGATGTAGGTGCTCGAGAGAGGTCAGAGGTCACTACTGCCATAGCAACAATAGAGTGTGGTGTGCAAATGAGGCAGAGGGGGAGGGTGGGAGGAGGGGCATTGAGTGAGCGGGTGTCAGGGTTCAGAGGTCATAGTAGTACTGAAACAAAGGAGTTCCTTCTGCCACCCTCGTGGCCACGCTGATCAATACTGAGCCCTTGATGGGGGGCTGGGAGGAAAAGAGAAAGGAGTTGGTGGGTAACTGTGAGACAATGTACCGCTCACATCATTGTGTATCTCACAGGATGAATTCTGCTGCTTCAGAGGCTAAGCCTGATCATAGTTAGTATTTTTCAGCAAATCACATAAAAAGCCCCGAACCAACAATGATTGATCTCTAGTAAAAAGCAATGCATTCAGCACCATAGAGCTCCACTGCTGTCCAAAATCTATTAAAACACATTACTGAGCACTGGGTTTTCCTTCATTAGCATGAACACACACTATAGTTTACTCAATCTCACATACACTGTGAGATTCCCTGAATATGTATTATTCCACTACTGAAAATAATCCCCAGCAAAAGCATTGCTTCTTTCTATTTGAGGAACATGTGTTAGAAACTCTAGCACTCAGTTGTTTTAGGGAATTAAGAAATCAGTGTCTTTTCATTGGCTTTGCTGGCCAGATACTGACAAAATTTCACTGTTGTGTGTTTGATTAATTCCCCTATATTTCCCACATGAACATTACCTTACAGTGAGCATTAGTAAACCAATACCAAAATACTAGCTGCTGTTTGTTTTTTTCTATGTACTGACTGATAATGTACCTTGTTAACAAAAATGAGATTATTTATAGGGTTTGAGGTTTTCTCAGTTTAAACAGGGGGAAAAAATCTTTACACTGCACAGAACAATGCAAACATTCTATTAAAGTAAAACCTGAAATTCTAACAGTGGATTTGTGTGTGTGTGTGTGTTTCCTGAATACACTTCTAGTTCACCAGTGCATTCCTTAGTGTGAGTGTATTCATAATACTTTTAGAAGTCTTAGAAAAGTGTTTACATGATTTGGCAGGCAGTGTTGACTTTACCGCTCCCTTCTCTGTTTATTTACTTGTTTGACTGCACATGGGGAGCAGAGGAAAAGGCCAGGGCCAGTAAAAAACTTGATTGTCCATATCCAAAATAATCTATAGGTTTTGCTCCCCTGTTTAAGTGGCTAGTGTCCCTTTGTGGCACACTGCACAGCCCCACTTGCCTTATTTATCCTTCCCTAACAAATTCACTGACAGGATTTCACTTAGCCACTGATCATTAGCTTTCTCAGCACACATTTACTGAAAGCCCATCAACACACAGTAGCAGAGGTGGAGTGTTGTAATGATACTCTGTTTTAATGATAGCTACTGCAAGCACTTCTCAATCTCTAATTAATGCTTTGATGTTTTTATTATTATAGCTTTAAGACTGGATGATAGTTTACTGTAATCATCTAGTGACTTTTAGTACAGGTCTGTTTTGACAATATGATCACGTTGGGTTGCTGTTTAACACATTTCTGAAGGATTGCAAACTGCAATTAGTGGTTTTTTATACATGGGACAGATGTGACTTGGCATAGCAGAAAAGGTTTGGTGTAATTTATCATGTTTAATTGTAGTTCTGTTTCATTAAAGGCTACATTCACGTTACCTGATGATGTGACCCTGATCTGAAATTGCCAGTAACCATGAATATGTATATACTGTTCATTCCAACTGCTGGACTCAAGATGTGTCTTACTTCACTGAAATGTCTAGTTATCATGTTTGTGTAAGATACTGGGCCACATTTGGCACCAAACTAGTTGTGATCTCACAAAATCCTGCTGATGTGTCAAGGTATTAAACTGAGATTTAAGTGAAAACAGAGAACTTTCCTTCCTTTAGCCAGTGGGAATGACAAACAAACTGTACAAACATTAGTCTCCTCAGTGATGCTCAAATATCCAAGTGAAGGCATAACAAGCAAAACACAGTTTTGAGTGGATAAGACAGTTTAAACTGCAGAGTTCATCGTTTTATCTTGATCAGTAGGGGAAACAACAATAATATTTTTAAATGTGGTTGGCAGTTAATCAGTGCTGCCAGAGGGACAGAGATCAATTTGGCTAAATCCCCTGACAGCTGCAGCTGCCAAACATGGGGCCTTGTGACAGATGGGACTGAAGCTGGGAGTGTGCTGCCCTCTGGTGGTAGAAACCACTTCACTGCAGATGGGTTTTATTCACATTTCAACAGTCAAATCAAGTACTTGTAAAATATATTAAATGCATCTGAATAATAATAATAATAAAATATACAAGTTATTTTGGAGTTTACAGTGTGTTTAACAATATATGAGCACCACATTTCTTACATGTATGACTAGTACTGATAAAGGTATAGTTTAATAATACACTCATACTTGTACAGTGAATGTTCTTTTCATTTTCTTGACACTATTAGATGCTACAACTGTGGAGAACCTGGCCACCATGCCAAGGAATGCCAGCTGCCCCCTCAACCCAAAAAGTGCCATTTTTGTCAGAGTGTGTCCCACATGGTAGCCAAGTGTCCGGCCAAAGCACAGCAGCAGCAGCATTCGTCTCCAGGCTTTCAGGGAATAGCTACCTCACCGAGGGATGAGGAAGAGGAGCGCAGCCAGGCCACGGCCTCTGGAAGTTCAGAGTGAATGATTCAGGGAATATGTGAGATTCTTCACTAGGACACTGCTTTTTAAAAGAGCTACCTCAGGTTTTATTTATCGAGTGGCAAAAAAGAGACATCACTGTAATACTGATGTGACTGAATTTTTTTACTTAATGTTTTCCCCCCTGCCTTAGATAATTGTCTTAGTTTTGAAACAAAACAATCAGACTTACTGAATAGTAGCCACAGATATATCAAGTTGATGTTTGGAGTGATCTGACATGATGTGTTACAAAAATGCTGATACAATTCTTGTTGGTTTACAACCCTCCAAGACATTACACACATACAGGGTGCATCTAACATTGTTGTGAATGGCCAAAAGCTCAAGGATGGGTTTGACTGATACATGGGTTTGCAGATATTTGACCACAATTGATATAAAGCCAACTTGCTGATTATGACAGACAATTTTAAAAACAGGCATTTTGACCTGTTTACAAGAAATCTAAGGTGCAATTAATAACAATAAGGATGGCTGCATTCCATTTAAGTGTTAACCTCTGGCACTGTGCATGCTGGAATTCTGGCATGCCTTACTGGGACACTTCATTTGAACAGAGCTATCATTAACTGTATTGGTTTCACCTGTGATTTTCCTTCTATGAAACTGGAAAAAAAAATCTAAAAAGGCCTGTACGCTTCAAGAAAACTACAAAGAAAGTGATAATGGGTACATTTTAAAAAGAATAAAGAAAAAACTTAAAGAAGTACCTCTTTTCTGCATTTAATAGCCAGGTATTAGTATAAAATCCAACCAACGTTGTTGTTTACTATTCTGTCCTCCTTATTTACTTACACCACTATGACAGTGTCAACACAACACTGACCATTATATGCCTCATAAATGTATCTGTTATGGTGAAACACCTGTGATGAATTGTATTAAATTCTACAAGTGTAGCTAATAAAATGGACAGTGAGCATATACCACTTGAACTCAGAGTTGTAAAGTCAGGATTTACAATGTAGCAACTTTCTTTGTCAAATAATTTAGCCCAAAATGTTAAAATTGCAAAGTGTACAGTACAAGTAGCTTTAGCCATTTAGCTGTGTAGTTAGCTAGATTATTGTTGTTAACTTAGCGTGATTATAGCTTTATATTTTTCAAACATATATAATTTTAATCAAAAGAAAACATGTAAAATTCAGAGTACTTTATACATAGAACTTGACAGCATTATTATTTCTTCTAAAGCTTTTACTGTCCCATGAGCACACCTAGCAAACCTCAGCAAGCTGCGGTGCAAAATGGAGCCATGTTATACTGTGATTTTATCATGTTTTCTTCACACTATGAATGGAAGTTCATGATTCTGATAACTGTAACAAAACTGCATTTATCTCAACTATTGGTACTTACCTTCAAAAACTCTTGTGTCTAGTCAAACCCTTGTGTCTGGTCTCAGAAGAGAAGAGTAAAGAGCTGGCAAAATTATACTCTGTGGAATCTTTTTGGTTAGAAATAGCATTCTCTCACACTTTTTTATTGCTAAACTTGAAATAACCAAGGTAAACAGCATGTGAATGTAAAGAGAAAACACTTATCTTTTTAAGTATTTATGTCTGCCTTTATAAGAAAATATCTTCAGGTAGGCCTAGAAAGTAAGTAATGTCTCCACATAAGTGCCATAATCTCCACTTTCCAGTGGGGTTGGTGAGAGCTGCTTTGAAGCGTCATATTACATTAGAAAAAACATCATTTCATCACACATACCTATGAAAAATATTGAATAAGTGGGGGGTTTTCTTAATACCAAGTTGCCATTTCATTATTTGTACTTATATGCAAAACTAGCATTGATTGTATGGTAGGTTTGGTCTGTGAAATAATCGAAAAGGGAATGTTTTGACACATACAGTATATACCAGGGACTTTTTTGTTCTTATACTTGAAACAGAAGGAAGAAGTTTGGGGGGTGGGGGTTTGCTTTCACTTGATTTGAATCTACATGTATATAGACATTATCATTTTTTTTATGTTAATTATTTAATCAGAGTTGTTCTCCTTCTAGTTTTTTTTCTCTGCCACTGGTTTAGACTGAAAAGCTGACTGAACATCTGAGAGCTTCAACTCAAGACATTTGTGCAAAGCTTTGGCTTCATTTGCACATGTTTTGCAGTCTGTTACAGCTTCTCTGACTCATTCCAACAATTGTATTACTGTGTATTTGTTTTCTTATAGTGCAATTAATCTTCAACTTTAGTGTATTGTCGCTGCACATTAAAAACACAGCATCCAGTGTTGAGTATTAAACCCTTTTATCTATGTATTTAAAAATGTGTTCACAGTAACATCAGCCTGCATTCAGTTTATTTAGCATCATCATAAACTCAGGGAGAAAGTGTAAGACCTTGTTTTTTAGGAAGTGTCTATATATTTAAGTTATATTCTGTCTTGGGTTGCTGGAAGATATTGATTGCCAAATGAGGGATGCACTATCTTTGTGTTATTATGTGCTAGACCAAATACAACAAGTACTGTGGCAACCTTGTAAGACTTAGAGGAACCATCTGCTCTCAAATCTTTCAGCATGGTGTGCATTGCATTTGTTTTATGCTATTGTATTTCACATTTTTTATAAATGTTAAATGTTCATTAGCAAATATTTCAACTACTTAAAACACCAGCTATAAAGGAAGTAGCAAGTTAATTGTTTTTATTTTTAATTTTCTGGTAGCTATGTATTTTCAAAGCAATTAGCTTTAGGTACAGAGCTTGCTAGCTAGATTAAACCAGTTAGCTTGCTACTATAGGCTCCACCATTGGCTGTATGTCAAAATGGATGGCACGTTACTACTTCTTTCCACTATGCAAAAGTGAAGCCAAAATATTGTGAATACCGTGGCTGCCATCCTGGCATTTTGAAACCTGTACATTAACGAGAAGTGGAATGACAGCATCAGGCTGCCATTCAAAGCTGTCAAATCATCCGAAATATATCCCTTTTTATATAATCAGATCACTTATTAAAAACAAACTTACCAGTGAGATAATATCTGCCAAAAACAATAGAAATCACCTCTGGCAAAAATTTGTAGCTACTTTGAGTTTTTAGTTTGGCTCGTGTCCTATCCACTACCATGGAGAGATGTTGTTTATGACCTATTCTGTAACCATCCATCAGGGGGCTTGTGGTAGCTTCTCATCTGGGAACTAAATTACCACATACTTGAAGCTAGTTCACTAGCCCTGGATGAGTCTGGTGGTTCGAACCATCGGCTATTTTTTCATACATCATGAATGCTTCTAGTATGTGGTCATTTTCCCATTTTTGATTCAATTTGTCATGACCAGAACCTTTTTTTTTTTTAGGTGCACATTCATGCTAGTTTAATTTGTTCACTTCTGGGAGCTGTCACATTCTCCATTTTTATTTACAGTCTATGGGCTACATACAGTATGTTGTGTCTGAAGTGGGAAAAGTGCATTTTAGTAGTATTTTGTTTCTCTTTTTTTCTTTTATTTTAGTCCTACACAAACATAAAAGTAAAAACAACTCTTGGTTTTATGTGGAGTTATGGGCTATAACTATTTCTTGCCAAACACAAGTTACTTGCAGTGATTGTGTGCAACTTCCTGCAGTCACTGAGTAAATGGCTAAACAGTTTTTTGTCAAGAAAGTCTAGAACAGAGCTTGTCACTTTTTACCTGACTGTTTGCGTTAAGGACTAAACAAACAGGACAGCTTGTGCTAATTAGTTAGCTTTATAGATGTTGGCATGGTAAAATTCACCAAGATGTTGTTGTTATTGTACATATTCAGTGTCTTTCTCACAGTATTAATGTAATGTCCATGATGAGTGTGCATAATAGAGTAGAATTATAGGTTAGCTTTTCATATAAACGGGGACTGGCGACTGATTCCGCTGATGGTAGAGGTTAATGGGTGTTGAAAATCATCACTAAGGATCATTACGCTGCAGTACAATGGGGTCTAATCTATCACGTAAAATACTCTAATATAAATCGGGTCTCTGTGTTCTATCTTGTTTCTTGTTGTTTATATTACTTCTTAAGTGAGACCAAGTCATAAATTGTCTTGTCCAAAATCTATACAAGTCTACCTCAGGTGTGGTTTTGGTTTTGATACAGACAGCTTGAAAACAGCATGTCCAAAAACCAGTTTTGTAAGTATTGTATTTAAAAAAAAAAGATGTATGTCAAATATTTATTACTTAATATGTTTTTTTAACAATTCCTTTTCAGTGTGATGTGTGTTACCTCATAAAACTCTTGATATCTTTAAGCTTGTTGTTGCTGACAGTAAACTGAAAGATTCTATACTTAAGACCAATATCATGCTTTTCCAGGAGATAGAAACACAAACTAACTGATAAATACACAACTACCATATCTTTACTTACCAGAGCAGACACACCCATTGGTTTGGTTTTTCTGGTGATGCCACTGCAGACAGTGAATGCTCATGTTGAGTCTCTGGGTATAAATTTACTGTAGCCTTTTAAAACTCAGTAATTATATTTGTGATTGCATATGAATCATTCTCTCACTTTCCTAATTATATTTTCATCTTGCAAAATAATCTGTGCTGCAAAACAATGACAAATTAAAGATTGAACATAGACAAGATTTATGTTTTGTTGATTCTTTTATCTACACTTTATGCTGATGACTTTTGGACTGTTGCTAGGACAAGTTCACTTTATGAATCACAGTTTAGGCAATTATGAGTAATAAGTATTTTGTATTTTAACCGTATTCAGTCAAACTTTTGTGTTATCTGTATCAGAGATGTGTAACACTGAAATTAGTTGGATTTTTAAATAAAACATTATAATAAGTAGCCCTGCGATGAATTGGCGACCTGTCCAGGGTGTACCCCGCCTTCGCTTGGCTTAACAAAGAAACCCCCCCCCCCCATTTGATGCTGTCAGCAACAGCACCACATGGAAGAGAAATGTCAGAAATGTGAAAAGGAAAATTGCAGGGAACAATGTAAAGCTAGCCAAACCTATCCTTGAGCATGGCTGAAAGTTTTGAAACTTTCCTTCAATATATAGGCTTGTTTATAAATTCGTCACTTTGTGGGGATATAGAGGTTATCAGTAAAGTTGTTAAATGAATGCCTATATGCAACTGTAAGAGATGAACTTGTAAAATATAGTTTTATGTTAATAGAAGCTGCAATTCACTCACGTAAAATCTAATAAGCAGGATTCAGTTTCTTTTAATGAGATTTTTACAGGTACATATTCGCTGAAGAGTCATAGTTAATATGGTGATTGATTATTTGTCTATGTGTAGGCCTGCTGTTTTGTAATAAAACTTAAAAAGTCAATTGAGGCAGTAATGTGATTACTGAAAAACTGATTGTTCACTGTGCTTAGGGCTTAAGTAATCCAAAAATATGTTTAAGTGCATAATGATAGGCTAATTGTTATAAATTTGACATTAAGCTTTATCAAAGACATTGGAATATTAATGATTTATATACATATAGTCTGTATTTATAGATGTCGGCACATTTGACAAATATTATTATGGGAATGTGACTTGAAATTGAGTAAGTTTACAGAATATTAAGAGTTTATTTTGAAAGATGTAGCAGGAAGTGGACTGTGGCCGCCGCTGCGCAGCGCAGCATACCAGCTGCACGCTCTCACGTCCTGTGTTTGACAAAACCTTGGTTTGACTATGTGAGCAGAACATGCGGCGGTAATGGCTGCCAGGGAGAGTGAGGAAGACAACAAATGAACCCCCGAGAAACGTTTCAAAGGTGAGACTGAGCAGATGACAAGCCGCAGCACATCAGCTGTAGGCTCTTCTGCCTTCAGACCATTGTCTCGTCTGCTGTGGCTACGTGTCTAATTGGTTCGCAGGTGTGTGTTTTGAAGAATTGAATTTCTGGATGGCACGCGCGTGCACGCACACATAGAGGACAATAAGCTGTCAATACCTGGTGCTTGTCATGCATGCCTCCTCCATGCTCCAGCCTTGGTACAGTTTAAGAGCAATGAACTGGTTTTTTAACGTTATAATTATATAAGCCTGATGCAGACATACATGTCGACTGTACTGGCGAGAGCTGGACTCTTTGTTAGCTACTGTTAACGTGATTAGCTAATGTTAGCTAACCAACTACCTCGTTAGCTGACGGTGGTCAGGCTACATAGCCATTAGCCTGTGAACCAATCAGCCAAGTGGATGTCTCATTAATTAGCCAGTTAGCGTGCTGGCTGTCATTCTTTTCGTCTGGGAGGCAACTTCTTATTTCAGACTTTTGGGGGATCTCTGGCATCTCCAAATCCGACGGTATCTAGTATGTTTGCAGTTAATTAAGTCCTATTTTTAAGTGAATGTCCATAGCGGGCAGGTGTTTTACAGTAGTTTCGCATATGCTAAAGTACCGCTGTACCGTGCCCCTTCCCCGCAGCAGCATGTTGGCTGCTGCCCTGCTCCCACATCTCTCCCTTCCTGACCACATCTTGTTGCTTCAGAAGTACTGGGTGAAACCAATAAATATTCGAAGCGAATCACTTGGATCGATAATCACACTGGTCGGACTCAGGGTGCAAACAGTCAGTGTCGGAGTTTATGGACCAGCATGAACTTTGTCCACTTGTAGAGCAGTCCATATGCAGCACGCTGACCTCGGCAACAGCTGCATTCAGGATCAGCGTAGCGCAGCTTGCTAGCTAATAACATTAGAAGAGTTGGATATCCGCGAGTGACAGCGTTGTGTTATGAAAGAAATAAACACCCAGAGAGAGGAGGAGCTCTTCACACACGGCCCCGTTGTCATGTGCGTGAGAGAGAGAGAGAAACGGCGGGAGGGACTGGGTGAATACATGCGCTATGTGCCACATTGACATAAAACTGGACCTATTTTAAATGAATATGTGGCGGTCACTGTTGCTATTGATAAATAAATCAATGAACGAGAAACACTGTAAGAGGTTCTCAGTGTCAGTGTGCACACCAGCAGCACTCCTTGGGCATAAATCCAATGTAACCAGCTGTCACATATATATGTAGTGGTGTTTGATTGCTATAACCATTGATTGAAATTGTAAATACGCAATATTATCAATAGTATACTTTTTCACAGGGACACTAGGAGTTTTTATTGAGTTGAAGCAATAGTTCTTTAATTAACTGACTTAAAACTACAAAAAAAGTATAAATCAATTAACTCATGTATCAAGCAAAAGTCAACAATTCTGTCATCCAGTCTTTCAAATATGAGATTTGCTCCTTCACTCTGTGTCACACCTTTTGAAAGGTTCCTAAAAAACCCTTTAGTGTCAGTTGGTAAATTTTGTGGTTCAAATATATGGTGTTGCTGAGGAGTGTATATTTATTTCTTAAATACAAATGTAATGTATAATCATCACATGTGGTGAACATAGAGTACTGTAGAGGTGCTGATAGTTTATGCAGTACCATGTGGGTTCTTTGATTTGCTGTATGCAGTGGATGAGAGATCACTAAAGTTGATGCCCTTACATACTGTTCTCTGCCATTTTATTTGACTAGCAAAAATTTAAATGGGAAGCAGTGCTGTTTGTGTTTGGACAAAAACTGTTTACACTTCAGCAGACTGGAACACATGCCAGTAATCAGACTACCACCCATCTTCTTGCATCAGCAGTCCTACTGCAATCAAGTGGGGAGCAGCGCCATCATTTTGCTCCACTAGCACCCGTATTTAAACAGCAGGGAGATTATTTGGGTTTTCTGAGTTTGATAAATGGCCAGGAAATGTAAAAAGCAATTTCCAGAAAAGGTGTGTATCTCAGGAAACAAAGTAATAAAATTTTGTGGTGGTTGAAAGGGTTCTGTTTAGACCACGAGGGAGCTATAAAAAAATAATGTTGGATAATCTCCATTTTTGGGAATTCTAGATCCTGGGCAAATGGGAAAATATGCTACACGAAGTAATTGAACTAAAGGGATGCAGCTGCTCCTACAGATAGTTTAATGTTAATAACAGAGGATGTACCTGTCTTACAATTTTTTTTTCTTTCAAGTTTGTCTTAATGCAGTAGTGAAGTGTCCACTTGTATTTAAGTTGCTTTATTTGTTCCTCCTACGTGCTGGCAGTGAAGTAGTAGCCTTTTTACATGACTGCAAGAAATGATGGACATAATCACCAGTAATTCTGAAGCTTGGCTGAAGCTAATGTGAGATTTGTGAGTCTGAGTTGAGTGGGAATCTTTGTCTTTGCAGTTACTTGTTTATTTCCCTTGTTTTGTCCCAGCATCAATCTAGGAATGAAACATTTACCAGTTTCACAGTAAACCATGGTAAAATTTTCATTGGTTGGTATTATAGTTTCAAATTTTAATTAGCTTAAACTGTAATTGATTGACACACTTTGAAAAACTCTCCCACCGAAGGGTCAACTACTGTCCAGCATCAGTCAAAGTTGGCAACAGCCAGCCATCTGCAAGCACAGCATGCTGCGTGTGTTTGTATTAAAACAATATGAGGAGGCAGTGAAAAAGTCAGTCTTCTAACAGAATGAAATCTGAAGTGTGGTTGTATTTTGGCTTTTGAGCGGTAGGCAGATTGTTTGACGATGGTCACCCTGTTTGCTGAATGTGCAGAAAGACAACTGCAGCGACAGAGGGCAACACTATATAGCAAATGCAAAGTAAGTTAACTTTTAGCCCCAGCTTGTGACTCCCATGTAGGGCTGGGCGATATGGCAAAAAATAAAAATCTAGGTTTTTTCATAAAATGTGACCGATTCACGATTTCGATTTTTTTAAATTTTTTTTTATTTTTATGTGTAACTAGCCAACTTAAACACAAGTACAACAACATGACTGAAGTAACATTCTCTTCTTAAGTAGCTTGAAAAACCATCAGTTTAAGAAACATTGTATTTTAGTGTGCATGCCATACATAAATTGGTCA